AATCCTTGTTTCGGTCCATAATGACCATGGTATGGAAATCGGAGTTTTCTTCAGATGTTATTGTCGTGCTTTCGAATCCTTCGATCTGATCAATCATATTTGCCACTTTGGCTGCATTTTCACCAACCGTAATTACCATGGATGGCTTACGACAAACTAAATTTAAAATGCGTAAACTATGTGCTACGGAAGACAGTAAACTCGTATCTCCACGAATGAATACCTCTTTGAAGACCTGTGGAATTTCCAAACTCAACACTCCAGTGTCAATTGAAATAAAATCCCAATTAAACCGATGCAATTCAACATAACCAAAAAGTCCACATTCTTCTAACCTACAACAGATCATTTAAAGAGAAATAACAATACCAGTGTTGGTCAAATAGCTGTTTGCAAATCAAATATTTTCTATTTACACCATATCAAAACTATGGAGCACATTTGGTAAAACAATTAAATGAAATGGTTTCGTTCCAATATCCGAAATTTGCTTTTCTGTCTGCTGATGAATATTTATCCCTTGAATTTGATCCAATACATTTTTAAACGTAATTAAATTAGACGAAATGAAGTAAACCATCGTTGATGTACGTGGTGGTGGATTCTTCGAATCGAATTTATAGATTTTATTTACACCTTTGGCACTAGAAATGTGAAAAAAAAAGATCTGTAATGAACATTTGTTTATTATGAAATTTGTAGAATTATACCGTAGCCAAGATGCTCCACAAATATGTTCTAATGGTTGGATAAGGCATGTCTCAATTATTAGGTATTTTTGATTATCTGGAATTGAACATAATATATTCTGCAATTTTTCTTGAGCAATTTGTCGAAATCCCTGTAGTTTTTTGTCTAGTGTAATATCCATTGTCTAGTGTAATATCCATAGAAACTTGAATTCATGTGTGCACATATATACATTTGATTATTTACACACAATCGTATTAAATAATCATGGTACTCTGGATATCCAATGCTCTAAAACGTATGGTTGATGAAGAAAATTTCTCGACGTTGTTTATAAGTAATATAATTAAGTTTATTGATATCATCACTGTTTAATTCACTATGACACTTAATGACAGTGACGTTGCAAAGTTAAAACTGTTATACGTCAAAGTATTTCAATAGCAAACGCAAGGCACATTTTTTGCATAAAAAAGCATAATCACCACCGCTATTAAAAAAATACAAATAATTGAAAAAAGAATATGGGTAAAAATTGCTATTTTCATTCTTTCGCTTATTTTTCATTACTTATTGATTAATTTCTCAGGCAAAACTTCAAAGGACAAGAGAGATATATACTATCGGCAAGCAAAAGAGTTTGTATTCAATAGTGGATAAATTTAAAAGCTATTTACTCCAGTACTACAAGAGATTCTTTTTTAATTTAGAAATGGATATCGCGCAAGAAGTGCCTTCAAACTGTTGCAAATAGACAAAGTTTTTCACATTTTTGACGGTATGTAGTTGAAGAATGTTTGTATAATTCCATTTTATTATTATCAGTCAATTTTTTGGAATTATTTGTTTTATTTTATAAATTACGCAAAGGGGTTAGCCGAGTTGTGGATTTGTGTGCGGTAAGCAATCGGCGTGAAATATGGATGAACAATTTCTAATATTTTTGATAAATTCCGATAATGAAATAGGCCCCTGGTAGCTGGAGCCAGGTGCTGTCGAAAAGACTTTATGAAAATAATTGTATTAGCATGTCTGAAAATAATCTAGACAAAGATGATGTAAAAATTGTAGCCGTTGACTTGCAAGGTTTTTAAATTTTAGTTTTAATGGAAAATTTCAACATTTTTTAAAGGAATCATTTTTTCCAAACAAGCAATGGCACCTATTAATGCACCAATATGCGTTAAACAGCTTCAAGGTAAATTAAATTGAACATTTCAATTAGCTTTTATTGATTTTAATTTATAAATATTATTATAGGAGACATTACACAATTGAGCGTTGCTAATGAAATTATTGCGTATTTTGATGACAAAAAAGCCCAATTGGTTGTTTGTGATGGAGCGCCAGATGTAACCGGCCTTCATGATATTGACGGTATGTAGTACTTGAATTTTTAAGAAACAGGTAGCATGATAAAATTGTTTGTATAATTCTATTTTATTATTCTCAATCAATTTTTTGGAATTATTTTTTTTTTTAATCAATTACGCACAGAATATATTCAATCTCAATTGTTATTGGCCGCACTAAACATAACTACTCATATTTTGGCGAACGGAGGAAAATTTGTGGCAAAAATCTTCAGAGGAAAGGACACTAGTTTGTTGTATTCGCAAATGCGAGTATTTTTTAAAAAAGTTTCAATCGCAAAACCTTCAAGTTCTCGAAATTCGTCAATAGAGGCTTTTGTGGTATGTGAAAACTACTCACCACCCGACAACTATGTACCACAAATGATCGATCCAAATACTACTGCTCTTGACAAAAATATCGTTCCATTTGTGGTTTGTGGTGATTTGGGAAATTTAGATTCTGACATGTCCTATAGTTTGATATCTGATGGTAAATACGAGTGATCTTCAATTTTTAGAGAATTAGACTACAATATTAGGGCATTTCATTAACATTTTCAATTATATTTTTCTGCTAATTTCATAGGCAAATACGAATATAAGGAAGTTTTGCAGAAACCAATTTCACCGGCTTATAAAGAAATTTTAGAGAAAACAAAAAATCTTTCACTCAAACATCAAAACTATTTGTTGAAGGAGACACATTAATAAACAAACCTATTTTCTTTACGCTTTACTTTATTTATTTTCTTTACGCTTTACTTAAATACAAACAAATATGTTCTCACATTTATTTAGTTTTTTTTCCAAAATATTTCCTCGCGACCTGAGAATTCAGATTTTGAATTAATTTCTTGGTTGAAAGTTATTTTTGCTAACGAATTTTTGCGTACAGCGTACAGGGTACGCACATACATCCGGACATAAAAAAAATGGCTGATTCATGTTCACACGCCCCGAAAATACACACTAGGTGTGTACGGAAAAGTAGAAATTAAAGTTCTGCAGTATCCAGCAAACAAAAATGTAACATTTTTAAACACAGAAATTGAATGGGTCAAAATAATAGTCCGACTTGTACGCAGAGTCTATAAAAGTGGAACATGGAGTTTTTTTACATAGTTTATTTGTTGTAATACAACAACAATTCTATGTAAAATAAAGAGTCTTACGGGAGTAAGACGAACTTTTCCGCACGGTGGTAGATGCGTATTTTATTAAGCTAGTTCAAAATAATATTTGTTCGATTTTTCAAGCCTTTCGAGCGGCGTTAAGTTCGAGACCGAAAAATATGTTTCAACTTTGGCATCGAAATATTCTTTAATTAAATAGCAGAAGTACCCGAGAAATGATTTTTCACACTTACATGATGAACCCATTTGTACGACATTTGAAAGTATTCTATTTTCTAA